TAATCTCTATGACTTCAGCTAGGTCTGGTACCTGGGCTAAAATAGAACATGTACACAAATCTTACGATAGGGAATCCCCATTAAGCTATGTTTGCTAGTATTGGTTAGATTTTGTCAACTTTTGTAACCAAAAAGAAAGTATGTTCCTGTAGACTAGTTGGAACAGCAGAATGCCGTTAAAAAAAAAATCTTATCACCGAGATATTCTCTGATTAGCTTACAATAACCGTACTTAAAAGTTCAAACTTAGGCATGTAAGATCTCAATCAAAATTGTAACTTACTTGATATTGTTATTGATTGGCCCTAGCGATCAAAGGGAGGTGACCCTTGACATTTCACACCTTTATTTATGATTTACATTTACTAACATATTTAAAAAAAAATAATTATAGTTTTTATAATTAACAATTAGTGTTCACTTAATTTTGTGACTCACTCTAACATTGTCAAAAATTCAAACATGTAAATACCTGCCACTAACAATCTTTTAATACTCAGTAAACATTTCTCAAGCAAATCAATAGGGTTCCAATTTCCAGTGTAATAAAAACCTGATTGCCCTAACTTAATTAGCTGTAGCTTTGTTGTAATTTATTTTATGATTTTCTAATTTATATAACAATTTTTTTTTTAATATTATTAATGGAGTAAATATAAAAATGAATTTTCATTGTCAGCAATGAAATGTGTTCAAAATAAAAATGTAAATGGAAAGTCTGTTGCCATAGTGATTAGTATCCATGTTTTTTGCTTGGGTTTTTTTTTTTTGTAAGTCTGTATGATATCACTGTGTCCAATCTTCTGTAATTAGTACCTGATAATTACATGTAGTAGTTGTTGTATTGGCTACCCAAAACTGTCATGTTTTGACCATTGACACACTCATTGTTGAATGGAGTTGTCTAATTTTACAACATAAATACAAATGGTAGCTGCAGTGAGGTTAATTCAATTAGTAATAAAATAGATAGTGTTAGTTACCTCACAAGTTAAAGACCTTTTAATTTTACAAGGAAGCCATCATATTTGTTTACATTCAAGTACTAAATTGTGTGAAACTTGAGCAGTTAAACAATGTTATATTTGTACTAGTTCAGTCTTTAAACTGCACTATTCCTATACACCAGGGGTCTCCAAACTTTTCAGTCCGAGGGCCGCATTACCCATCAAATTTCAGTTCGGGGGCCAGTTTCTTCCAGGCATGTCTTTAATTTTTCTGGGCAAAGTTCCTCAGCCATCACAAACAGACGATTTTTCCTTGGACAAAAAGATCTCCGCGGGCCGGATGAGAGAACTTCGCGGGCCGCATCCGGCCCGCGGGCCGTAGTTTGGAGACCCCTGCTATACACGATTTACCTTTGGTTCCATGTATTATATGTAATTTATATATGTATATATGCTGCAAATCTTAAGACTATCACAAGCCATACTTGATACAGTACAACTGTAAGCAGGGCAGGTACAAGTTTCACATACATGTACCAGGACTTCATAGCATGTTTTGTACATTTATATTAAAAGCTTTTTTTTATGTTTAACAGTTCAGTCTTGATGTTTGCTATAGCCAGTACTTTGTTCATTACAAATAAATGAATGAATACTTGCTTGGTTTTGATTGACTAAAACAAATTATGAGTGTTTAGTGCTTATCATGATTTAAAGTTTGAAAATGTATGTTAGTTGCAATATTATGCTTTAGTGATGTCATTCAACTCATGTTGTTTTATATCCATGTTGTCAAACACAAAATAAAAAAGCATTTGTTAATCAGTTTTATTCTTTAGAGTATTTAGGCCACGTACAGAAGTTTTATATGATCCAAAGATGAAGACAAATAAACAAAAAAGCTGAATCTTAAATGTAAAATGAACAATGGCGATCAATGATAAAAGAACACCCTAAATTTACTTTCTTAACTTTTAATAACATCTAGTGTAATTTTTCCATATCACATAAATATACAAATCACATTCATTATCAAAAAGCAGTTTTCTTTAAAATCCCAAGAAGTTAACACAACCTTGATAATCTGATATCTTTTTTCACAATAAGTTAAATAAGCAATAAGGACAAATAATTGTATTACTCAAATAAAAGGAACTTAACTTTAATAGCGGTTGTGGTGCAGCACTCTATCACGTGAAGTTAATGGAGTGTTGGGCAAAAGGTGATTAAATAGAAAAAAAAACTGGAATAAGATTCAGACCTGAGTTTAATAAGTATCCATTGTCTTAGATATTATTACAAATTGTAGGCCACTACGCATCCTCCCTAATACGAAACTTATGTCGTGATTGGGGAGAAATTATTTTAAAATACTGCTTTGGATAACATTCTTTAAACTGCTAAAACTTCAGTTATTGTAACCTTTTTTAACATAGTAATTGTAAACATTTTCCTGAAAGAAATCTTGCACAAAACTCAAGAAGATTAGCTATGTAGTTGGCTATGATCTGCAAAACCCCATAAATCTGTATCATGTCTTACCACAACAGATGTCTGGATTGATTTCTTTAAGCTTTCGCAATACTTTTTTTTTGTGTGTGTGAATTTGGTTAAACCTCATTGAAATGCTATTTCTAGACTGATCAATATGGAGGTATCTGGTGTAATAATATGTGCTTGGAAGATCAATCACTGTAGATTTAATTGAAAAAAAAAAAATATATATATATATATAGGAAGAAAATATAATTACTGGAATTGTATGAAGTTCATTACAATATAAACAGCTGTAACAAAAGATTTTTTGCCAACATAGGTCTATAATTAGTATAATTACTATAAATATGAGAATAATATATAAATATATAAATAGGACACAAAGCAAACAATCCACCTGATCACTTATTCAGCAGAATATTTAAAGAACAGTATAAATAAAACAAAATAAACTATAGTTTATCAAACTGGGTAATTTTGGTTCTGCTTAGATGTGTAAATAATAATTAGAAAATCAACTGAAACAACAGCAGAAAATTATGCGTTGTGTAAAGTGAAGAAACTGTGAACATAAAAAAATGGGTGGTGTATAACAAAAAGTTGTACAAAAATATATAAAAATTGCAAAAAACCGTATACATTTTTTGTTAATGATGATTTGATATTGCTTATCTAGCCACTGTAATTTCTTTTATAGGCATCGTTTGTCTAAATTAGTCACAGAATGACCAGCACTGACTTAAATGTTTTTCTATGGCAGACACATGATGCATAGTTATGTGCCATGATAATAAAATGAAACGAATTATCAGAATTTTCAAGGTGGTAATTATAAATTTAAATTGAAATACAAATAAATTTTTGGTGGTAAATGTTTTCCTAAAAGGAAATGTTACATCTTTGAATATAAATGAAATAATGCATATAGATGTAATGTGTTGTTACAAGGATGGTGTGGTCACACAGAGTGCATGACTACCACCTTGAAGGACTACAATCCCAATCCCAATTGGTCTATAATAAACCCAGCTTGGATGGGTGCTTGATGTAAGTCAGGGAAAGCTAAGGCAGCTTTACTAGCCACACAATCCCTTCATTCCCATGTGTAGATCAACTCTACACAGCATCAACCCAACTAACTCAGCACTGGAAATATATTTTATATCACTAAAAAATGTGTTGGTTCACATAAGGTTAGACCAAAGACTCAAATGTGTGACTCCAGATACAAGCATATGTACATAAAATAATAAAAGGAAAAACAATGTTAGAAAAAAAAAACCCAAACAAAATGATATGAACTATCACAGCTGACAATGGAACTTGTTCAATTTTAAATGGAAAGTACAGCAGTCATATCTACACTGCTTGATTTCAGAGACAAATATGACACAAATGATAAACAGGAAGTTCTTGAGTAAATAGAAAACATTTTTTCTATAAAAATGTTCAATGTTAAGATATTATTCTTAAATCAACTCAGTGGCGTAGCCAGGATCGTCTCAAGGGGGGGGGGGGGGGGGGGGGGGGGGGGGTTTCCAATTTTTACCCGGGGACAAACTTTCGATCTGCACCCCCCCCCTTCATACTTTATATATATACCGAGGGGTCTATGGGAGGGGGGGGGGGGGGGGGGGGGTTGGGGGGTTATGACCCCCCCTGCCTACGCCACTGAATCAACTATAGCTATAGCTGACAAATTCTGTACATCCAATGCAGTAAGCAGCAAGATCAAATATTAAAATTTCAGCCGCAAGTTTTAAAGTGCATGGTATCATGTGAATATACTTCATTAAATTACTGGTAGAGTGACACCTAGGATATTGTTTCAGAAGACGTCAAACACTAAAAATAATAGGACATTATTTTCTCCCACGTTCTAAGTATATTAAACAAAAATAACAGCAGGTGTAAAATTCATGGTAAACACTAAGCATCCATTGTTATAAGCAGATTAGTTATGCTGTACTAATCATAAAATCAAAATAATTAATTAAATAATATAATTTTGAAATTAACACAAAACTTTGTTAAGTAGTGAAAACAAGGCTTGGCCTTATTGTAACAGTGTTAAAAAGTAGGTTAAAGGACAACCTAATATTAGAATAGTTTTTAAACAATCTTTCAATTCATTAGCTTGTGCTATGGCAACTATTAAAATAAATTCACTGGATTGCCAAAAATGTGGACATAATGCATTTGTCTTCTATATGATATATACTTTTTGTTGCAATGAACATTAAAAATCAAGAACTAAATTTACAGCATCAGAAAAGGTAAAAGTAATGAAAAAATATAAAACAACATTGAACAAAATTTTAAACTAACATTAATAAGAATTTAGTGTCTACATGTAGTATGGAAATTATTTTAACTGAATTTCCAGCAGACAAAGTAAAATGTTTCTTAAAACAAATTGTCAAAAAAAGAATCACTATATAGTAAAAACAATAAATAAAAGTACAAAGTAATTGAGCAAACAAAAACATTTTTTTGAAAAACATTAGTGATAAATCAAACAATTGTATATTAACACACATAATCATGTTTGCCAAAATATTTTAAATGTATTGAATTTAATACAAAATATACAAATTCCTCTCTTAAATTAGGAAAAAGGGGTTGGAGGTAATAAATACGAACAAGTGTTAAAAATTATAACAAAGGTGTGCGTAAAAAAGATAGTTATCACCCTTTTACTTTCTTTTGCATTGCTACTTTGATACTGGACCTTGGTTTCCCTTTTGTTTGTAAATCATTCCAAATCTCCGTGATATGTGGTATTGAAAGTTGAAATCACCCTCGAGGCTACAACCCTTTCTTCAAGAACTGTACCTTTAGTGCGGTCCACCTTTTTGCGGTCCACAAATGGGTAAATGCCTTTCAGAACTGAACAGGATATGTGGGTCCTATCATTTAAAGGAACCAACTGTCGCTCTCTACGCAAAAACGTACGTGAGTAGCAATCTGAGGTCACCCGACCAAAATGGAAATCAAGTACGGCTGTGGGATTCCGGGGGATGGAAACTGGGTACCCCTCAAATACACCCTTACTGACAGGAAGAGCCCAATCTTTGGGTAGTATCACCTCTGTTTTCATCCAAATACACACAGGCCAAACGTGATTGGAATCTTGATTGAATAAGAATACATCAACAAAAGGAAACTTGATCTCCGACTCCCCGAGCCATAATGCAGAATCTTTATGATACAGTTTCCACATATAATCCGAGCCCATGTTCATCTGTATATCAGGCAGGCAGGACAAAACCTGCCGAGCCAGCGGCCATTGTCGACCATCAAATAAAATATCCACATCATCATCCCAAGGTATCATCCCATGGTGACGCCAGTAGCCAATCAGAGATCCCTCAGATATAAAGTAAGTAATGTTGAAAGCAGCTAAAGCTTGGGTTACAGAGAGCGCTGTGTACAACAGGAAGCGCTGCTCCTTTGGTGTGAGGGATGGCTTGTAGTTGTCAAGAATGGCCAGCTGCTCCTCATTTAGAGAAGATTTGAGTTTACTGGACAGCTGGTACCAGTCCTGCAGGTCATACACTGGCATTTCTTCCAGTTTTGGCATTTTGATGCTGGAAAGTTTCCTGTGAACGGCCTCACAAGACCCGGTGTAAGGTGAACGATCAACATAGTAGAACAGATCTGAGAGGTGGATATAAATAACCTGTAACAAAAAATAACAGATATGAGATAAAGATGAAAATAAAATGTTATGTATTAACTTTTTCAAAATCTTGTTGATATTAATATTTATTAAATTAGAGTGACAAGGTTAGAGTTAGATAAGGTTTAACTTATAGTTAGAAACCAATCTACTTCAGGAGGGGCAACTTGATGAAGTAAAATATATGAACACCCAATTTAAAATTCCCCAAGATGTCTGCTCAAACAGAAGGAGTTCAATGCCCTCTGATTGTGTGATCAGAACTATATCTAAGTGGCCTCAAATTTCCAGACATATGAATGCATGGATGAACTTAGGAATCTGAGTTGAAGGTAAGCTTGAAATAGTGCGTAGTCTAAAATTCAACACTTCACTTACAACCCAGTGAAAAAATACTTAACTTGATAATTAAAGAGATATAAAAGAAAATATTTTTTAAAATCTAAGAATTTTGTTACTTATGAATATCAAATATTAACCTTGATCGTGTTGAGCTGCTTTAAGGTCTTAGGCCACCCAGGTATTAAGGCATTGCGAAGTGGGGTAACCAGCATCACTACGGCAGCTATGACAACAAACACTTTCAGCCTAGCTGTCAACTTGTGCTTCGTCCAGAACAACTTTAAATGCTTTAGTCTTGCCATTTTCAGCTCCTGCACCTAAAGAACAATAAAAGATGCTAATTACTCTGCTTTAATTATTAAAAAAGACTTGTTTATTCACTGCACAAATACAGCGTAGTAAATAATTTATTCATATTTATAATATAATTCAAAGGGTTACCTTAAATCAAGTCCAAAGTGTTGAAGTTATGTGAGGTTTTACATAGATGTTCTTGTTTTTGCTAAAAGAATTATAAAATGAATATTAGTAAAGATATATTTGTAACAGGGGATGTGTTTATTCATGTTATAGTTTTACCAATATCCAATAATGCTACAGTATTGAAATCTTCTTAAATAAATAAAGGACAGTACGTAACTAGGTGAGGTCCTGTGTGATACTCAGGGTGTCACCTCCGCATGTATATATACATACATATAAAAAAAATATATATGTGTGTATAGATATATTTATCCTATACTTGCATATAGTTTACATATACATACATAAGCGTATAGGAGTAATTATGTGTGTCATAGCATAGATAGATATAAGCCTAGACTGGTAGAGTTAATAAAGATGGTGTAAACTTGGTACTGATGATAGATGATTTGGTTCAAGAGTATGTGGCTTTTTTAAAAAAAATATAATATGTGTTTTGTGAGTGAGACACGACAATGATGCGATGATATAGACACAAGACTGAATAGACAGTTGGGGGTTTTGCCATAGTAGGAAAAGGATGTGGTTAGATGTTGGTGGTGTAGTGTAGATCTAGTATTTGTGGTTGATAATTTAAGTTAAAATTATGATCAGACTTGTTGGTGTCATTAGTGTCGTCGGACATAATCACACATTCAATCCCCCACCACAATGTGCATGGGAACAGGGCATTTTCCCCCCTCCAATAGGACATTGGGTTTGGGTTTAAGTTTTAGGCTTAGGTGAATGCTTTTTCTTAAGGTTAGGATTAAGGTAATATATAGGTACAGAGTTTGAGTCAGGATTCTTGAACTTGGGGGAGGGGTAATGTCCCAATGTGCATATATATATATTTCGGTTTCTTTTTCTTGACACAGTAAATAAAATTTTGAGGCAGTTTTATTTGATGATTTAGAACACTAGAAATACAAGCAAATAGTGAAATAATTAAAGTTATACACATGTAAATGCACACAATATTTAGTGTTATAACAGGCCGTTACGGTTCACTTAGACAGTCTACGTCTAGATAATTAGGAAAAAGTATAATGCTATATGTTTGAGACATACACCAACAGATAACTAATTTGAAAGAAACAAATATACAACCGCAGTTAGATATACTACACAACATGTTAAACTAGTAAACTAAAGCATTTAGAAAAAGAAATAGAAGCAACGCCAACTGGTAGACCATATCTTGTTAAGCTGGTTGAAAACATGTCTTGCCTAGCCCATTCTTTCTTTAACATCTGAGTCTGTTCCTTGCGTTTATTTATTTATTCTACCAATGTAGTTATTTATTCTACCAATGTAGCAAAGCAAACGCATTCACTTTCTACATAAAACGAGACTTCCATATTGTATGACTGGCTCCTTACTTAAATTAATAGTGCAGTTTGTCTTCATGGCTTTCGTCTTTTGCTTCTGGATTTCAAAGCCAACTTTTGATGATATGGCAGCCACCAAATTGTGCACTTGGGAATGATGGGATTGTTCTCTTGTTTGCAACTGCTGTTAGCAGTGTGAGAGATGTGAATTGCGAAGTCCACATCTTTCAGCTCATTTTACAAGGTCCACTAGATCCCATTCTTCTTTCCATGGGTGACTGTCTTCATAATCCAGTCAGTGACAAGGAGAAAGAGAAATGGTTGCAATAAGCATCCTTGTAGGAGGTGTGTTTAGTATGAATAATAAAATGAACTGCCTACAGAAATATCCAAACATGGACCAATCACAATGAAACATCTATATTATTGTTTGCAATTTGATATTCTTTGCAATGTTAAAAAGAAGTCTGTAGAGAAGACTTCAAAGAACACCTTGTAACAAAGGCTTGTATACAAATCCTAGTTAAAATCAACATCCATGTACATATCTTTTGTAATGCAAAAGTGCTTGAAGTAGGTTTACTGATTGACCTCTACCTACTCAATAACTTTAAAATAGCAAGAAAAGTAAATCAAAACCAAAACAAGAGAGAATTGCCATAAGGAACAGCTACTAACTTACTAATCCAACCCTCCTGAGCAAGTTTACAATTCAAATAAAATTTTAAATAAATAGATCTAGATCAGGGGTCTCCAAACTACGGCCCGCGGGCCGGATGCGGCCAGCGAAGTCCTCTCATCCGGCCCGCGGAGATCTTTTTGTCCAAGTAAAAATCGTTTGTTGGTGATGGCTGAGGACGTTTGCCCAGAAAAATCAAAGACATGCCAGGAAGAAACTGGCCCCCAAACTGAAATTTGATAGTCAATGCGGCCCTCGGACTGAAAAGTTTGGAGACCCCTGATCTAGATGCTATCCCCATCTCCACCCCCTCCCCCCATACAAATGAAATACACTCAGACTCATTTTAAGAGGCTGTTAAAGTTAAATGCATTTGATGAAGATTACTTAGCATTTTAATTTTTAAGTGTAAATTTTTCCTCTCTGATGTCACCAGTATGTTAAACTGTGATTGGAAAATGATATGGGTCATTATTAATTTAATAATATTAATGCTTTTTTTTATGGGTGACACATTCTCTCTCTTGTGTTGTTGTGTTGTCTAGATCTAGTCTAGATCTCTAATTTTTTAAATTGATATAAAATGATAAATTAAATGTTAACTTGATCTAGAGTCTAGATCTCGAGTTTAGAATCAAACTGTTTCAAACCTGGATCCAATATTTTCATTTTTCTAGATTTCTATCTGATCATGTCATGACAGATTCATCACTCGTCACTGTACTTCACATCAACCGAACCATTTCACCGACACCATTTCCAAGCATGTAGCCGATCATCAACTTGACTTAATTTTATTTGACAATTTTTGTATTCAATAATCAGTCGTCGTAACTGCTCAACCAGCTTAAAAATATGTAATGTCCCATTTAGCCAGCACATTTAGTCGACTAGGCCTAACTATAATTCTGCATTAGGCCTAACGATGCAGATTTAATCTAGAGGAAAATCCTTAAAGTAAAGGGACTCCACTAGAGTTGTAAGTTAAAGGCAGTTAAGGTCAGGACGGAGTTGAAGTATTGACCCTGACAAATGTTTAGGAATTCGGGGATGTAGATTTTCTAGATTCTAGATTTAGATTCAGAATTTATTAGGTTTTATCAATATAGAAAAAAAATCGCATTGCATCTTAAACCTAGAACTTTATTCATAGCTTCTGGTTGCGTTTAAAATTGATATAAATCTAAATCTAGAATCTAGATGCTAGTCCTAGAGTCTCATAAAAATAAAATATGGCTCATTTTTAAACTGTCAAAGTATCGCTAATGAAAATATCGATACCATAATATCAAATATTTAGTTCTAACTACTTGTATACGCCAGAGAAAGCTTCCGTCTAACAAAATGTTTGTTTTTATTAATTTCAATGTTGGTGATCGTTCACTTACTAGTACTAGATTCTAGATCTAGACTAGATCTAGATCTAGATCTAGATTCTATCCAGATCTAGAATACATCTAGAGTAACCTAGACTAAATTAGATTAGATATAGCCTAGATCTAGTCTAGCTATAGATTCTAGACGACTCATACTACTGCTAAACTAAAAGCAGCTAGATCTAACTAACATTTTTAAAGTTGCATTCTTTTTCTTTTTACTTTTCCCAGTTAATAAAATATTAAAATAGTAAAAATAAATAGATCTAGATCTAGTAGTAGTAGGCCTATAGTCTATGTATTTGATCTAGACTCTAGATCTAGTTCTATATCTTAATCTAGATCTAGACTAGAAGATTAATAAAAAATAGGCTGAGTTATATAATATAATCTTAAATCTATCTACTCATTCTACTGAATACTCGATCTAGAATAGTAATCTAGTGAAATCTAGTCTATACAATATCTAGATTCTAGATATAGATTTAGATCTTTCTAGATTGAGATCTAGAGACTAGGTCTGTCTAGAATCTAGATCTACTTGAATCTACTCTAGTCATCATATAGATTATCATTATCGAAGTGTCTACTCGGAAGAAGATTTTTCTCCCCAACGTCTCCACTTAGTCGGCAAAAGATAGTTCTGCGCATGCGCAGTGACCTATGGCTAGGGTTAGGGCTAGAATGAGGGTTAGGGGTAGGATTAGGGTTAGGGATAGGATTAGGGCTAGGGTTAGGGATAGGATTAGGGTTAGGGATAGGGATAGGGTTAAGGATAGGATTAGGGTTGGTGTTAGGGTTCTGCGGTTGTAAACACACGCATGCGCAGTACCATCGAAAACATCGCCGCTAAGGCAAGTCGTAGTTTCTCTCCATTGCGCATGCGTATCTTATTCCGGCTAGAATCGGCCTATCATTATAGTATAGATAGATCTATTCTAGATCTAATATTATATAATATAGAATCTAGTGCCAGAATAGATCTAGAGATCTAGAATCTAGCTAGATTAAGATTATTTTTTATTATTCTAGATTAGATCTAGAATCTCAATCTAAATTCTAAACTAGACTACCTGTGGTCCAAGTTATTTTAGTTTTGTTTAGGGCCTGTTGGCCTATACTTTACTGTTTTTCCTTAATTTTCAAATAAAAATACAACTGATCATGTTTCATTTTAAATAAATAACATTGTCCAGATAGTCAATATATGTTTTTATGTCAACTATTCTTATCAAGGAAATATTTATTGGCTTTCTTTTGGGCTAAAAGCTAGAAAATGCACAATATTTATTTCACTTGTTATTATATTTAATCTCACCTAAACTAATGCTTGCACTAGCCCTCATTATAGAAGTATAGGAATGCAGAAAATATTCCTTTTAGAGAACTGATTTCCAAACATAATATAACCATCCAAGAATGATTTAATAAGATTGATAAAAAAGATGAGAGATGCATCACATGTTAATGTGGACATATTCTAAGCTAGATATTCTGCAAATAACAATTTAAAGCAAAAAATTTAAAATACTCCTTGAAATTTAGATTTAGAGTTTGATTAGATTTATTTATCCCTAATAGATCAAAATACAAGTGAATATCTGTATATATATATATATATAGTTTATTACACTACTGTATAAATGTTAAACATTGAAGTTAAATTTAGATTGAGTTCATTTACATTTTTTTCAAAAATTTGCATTTTATACATATACATGCTTTTAATTATTGTTAATACTAATCTGAATACAGCTTTTTACCTTTACTAACTTCCACTTTTGAAGACTTGTAGCCAAGTAAACACCTGACTAACAGTGCTTCTGACTGTGTATCCGCCTTCAGTCTAACACTTAATTACCCTACGGACTAGCCATGCCTCTGGAATCCCTTCCAGGCAACAAGGACAGTGGCGGGCATAAGTTGCCATTAAGTGGCAGCAAGGAAAACACTAGCCATAAGCAGCTTTCTGCCTCAAGTAAAGATAGTGGCGGGCATAAGCCATCCCCTGGTAGTGGCAGGGAAGGAAGTATACACAAAACACAGGCCGTTGTGGGGAAAGATCTGAACAATCACAAGCCGCAGCCAGCCACTGCATCCAAGGTTAAAGCTCCACGGGTGATGAGACGACATAGGAGTCACACTGACGGCTCGCGTGGACTCTTAGCCCCTCATTTGAATAGGTACGGAGAAGATTTTGAGATGGAGAGTGTTTTGCCTGGTCACATGAGGTAGGTGTTCTTTTTGTAACTCTTTTGCACCTTAGTAAATATGTATTTGTATGTATATAAATATATATAATATTATAGCTTATGGTTAATAAGAATGGCTAATATAGAAACTTCTAGCTTGTAACATGACAACATCTATTTCTATGCAGGTCTAGGCTTTATGATCTGTTCTTACAGATTGAAAAAGAATTTGAACACCTCTACACCACAAACTTAGCATGTAAGTCTATGATTCATCTGGTGGTCAGTGCAATGAACATTAAATTTTGTTCAGTTCTGTGTTTGTTATCAGTATCTGTCTACACCTGCATGTGGATGCTTCAAAATACAGGTTTTTTTTTAGTTCAAGAAAGTCTTAATTAGTTTTAAGTGCTGTTCAGTTTAAGTTTAGACCATAGCTGAATTTTATTCCATAAGAAAAAGAACCAAATAAATAAAACCATAAATATTTTACATATAGTTAATTTTTTTTTATATGTATGCCCTTTGTTTATATTTATTCTATAGCAACTCAGCTTCTTGAGTTGTTACACAAACACAAATATAACTGTTCCTTGTTCTGTTTTATTTTGAATCACATTTCCATGTTAACTGAAAAACTATGAAGTATGAAATTAAGCTTCACCTTGTTGATTTTATTGCACAGTGCAAGATAGACTTGACATGATGTCTGACAAACTAGGCAATGAAAGTATAAGCAGTGAAAAAACACCCCTAGAAGCACAAGATTCTACAGATTTTGGAGCTAAGAGTAAAAGTAAGTGTATATCAAAATGGCTCTGTGCGTATCAGAATTCTGTATGGTTTTTTTTTTTTGCATTTAAAGAATAACAAAGGCACATCAAAACAGTTTATTTTCAGAAATATAACAATGCTTCAAATTTGTTCATATTTATTGTACAATAGACAGTCATACCTTTTTAACTAGTATAATAATAAAATATGACAAAAAATAGTGCTATTAATACTTAATATTTCCAAGTATGTTTGAGCAATTGTCACTCTACTGTATGACTTTTCTGTTGGGCAGAACCCTTGTTGTCACAGAGGATAAAAACTACTTACAAACAATCCACAAGCAAACTGGTGTCCAGCTTCAGAACCCCCAACCCAGTGTACAGTGTAGTCCGACAGTTCAGAGGTCACAGAGATGGTGTCTGGGAAGTCAGTGTATCCAAGACCCACACACATCACATTATTGGGACTGCATCTGCAGGTTAATTAATCTTCATTTTTTAGTTTATGTATATTTTTAGTGGGTTGTTATATAATTGCTGGCAGGACAATGCATTACCATCTCAAGGCTTTTTTTCTACCGGTATGTTAGTGTTGTGGTCAGGACAAGGAGACCTTACGCTGGTGTAAAGTCTAAATTATTGGTTAAGATAGAGATAATAATTTAAAAAAAAGTTGTCTCCAATAAAACGTCGTGATGTTGTATTAGATATTTCTCAGTGTTGTATTTTACCACAATGCTCTGATCATTAAAAAAAATGTATCCAAAATAATTTTTTTAATTAAGTTTAATTTTTGAATAAATTTTTTATCTAACCAGACCATACAGGCAGGATCTACTCTGTGGAGAGTGGAGCGTGTCTTCTTCAGTACACAGGCCACAAGGGGTCTGTCAACTCTATCAGATTTCACCCCAACCAGGAGCTGGTGCTGACAGCCTCGGGTGATGGGACGGCCCACATATGGAGGGCTCAGCTCTCACAGCTCTCTCATGTTGATATTTCCGTGAGTTGCTTGACTAGACACTCTGAGTCGGAGATTTTTATTTATTGATGTCTTGATAACAGGAAACAGAATTTTAAATTGCATTGTATCTTTCTAACACTATTCAACGATTTTAATATGATTTTCTTTCATGAACATGAAATATTTTTATAGATCTTTAATATATTTCCTGTCAACTTAAAATCTAATTATAATTACTACTATAATGTTATCTTGATATTCACTTCCTTAGAAATCTCACTCATCTGGTGAAGAAGAAATTGATAGCTCTGGTAGAGAAGACACAACAGATGGTAAGATCAGATTTCTTATAACATTTTAACACTAAATTTTAGCTTAAAGTTTATTCATAGTATATAATGTTGTTTGGCTGGAATTATTAAATTGGTATTATTTTGATGACCAGACTTGATTGATTATGCACATGAGGCCAGCACTGTAAGGAACCCCAGTTTAGAATTGGCCCAGCATTCCGAGGTGGTAACTGCAGCGGATTGGATGGCACAGGGGTCACAGGTCATCACTGCATCCTGGGATAGAATGGCAGTATTGGCTGATGCAGAATCTGGAGAACAAATATCTCAACTTTCAGGTTGGTTAAATACAAACAAACAAATATTTTAAAATAAATTCTAATAGTGTTTGTCTTCCAAATCTGTATTAGAGTTCAAATAATCAGTATTATTATTCCATAAAATATATGGCCTTATTACCAGTATGAATACAAGTGAAAATTGATTCCACCACAAACTCCACATAGAAAAGTAGTTTTTTAACATTTGGTATCAGCTTGTTTAGGGTTGTATATGAAGTTATAGAAAGACATTAATGCGTTACAGTTGTAGGTTTAATTATGTAAGTTTGATTATCTGACCAGGTCATGACCAAGAGTTGACCGATGTACACGCCCATCAGAGTCAGAGGCTGGTCCTGACATCGTCTAAAGACACAACGTTTCGTCTGTGGGATTTCAGAGGGCCATCAATGCTTGTGAATGTATTCCAAGGACACACTCAGTAAGTTTTATTAGTGACATGTCAAGGGTTGGTGCATGACAAGTCAGAGTGTTGATTTTACACATAGTGTGCCACAAACATTTTCATAAAACATTTTTTGTGGGTTTATTTCAAGTAATATTTCGTGTTTGAATTTAGCAGCATATCAATTTACCATTAGCCTTTAAATAACACTGCATACTACAAAGTAAATACCTTTTGTTTTTTTTATTCTGCTTAAAGTTTAATCCTTTGAACCCTTAGCTCCTGAAACTAAAATCCCTGAGCTAAATATACACACAACAGACTCTCAATTAAAAAATAAAGACTACCAATAAAACTAAAAAGTTGGTTTTATTATTATAATGAACATTTGTACTTGAATCAATGCCAGTGCTTTTAATTAGTATGCCGGTCATACTATTAGATAGACATAGGTAGAATAATGATTGCTGAGATATTCAAAACATCTTTTCATCGTCAATTACTAATAATAAACAGAACAAATAATGACAGAAACTTACCATGATTCAAATAGTATTAGTTACGCACTTTTTTATATTGGATTTTTGTGTACAAACTGTGTCTCAGACAGATTTAAGAATCGGACTGAAAAGCGTTAAGTATGCTATGAATAACTGTTCAAAGCAGCTTTTTGAAAAAAATTAACAGTAACATATTTAAGCCTAAAACTTACTAGCTCGCATAAGATTTCTATATTAGTTTTTATATTCAGCTTTTAATATTCTTTCAAAAATAGATACCTCTATTTTGGAAGCAATAGATAGGTCATTGTTAACCATAGTAAACTTGTCATGAGTTACCTTTTTCAACAATAGTTTAAAAAAATAAAATTAACAACTGAATAATTGTAACTTTATGCTGGTTTTGCTGCTTCTAGACAGGTGACTTCTGCAGTGTTTGCTAGCGGAGACAAAGTTGTTTCTGGGAGTGATGACCGCACTGTGAAGGTGTGGGACATGCGGAACATGAGGTCACCTATAGCGGCAATAAGAACAGACTCAGAGGTCAACAGGTAATCAGACTTTGATAAATCTATTGCTATGGTCAAAAAATTATTTTAACAAAAATGTTCAAAGATCAAGATCATAGTTAGCAGATCTATACTAGAATTTTGTTTTCAGGTTTTGTATAACATTTTGTATTTTACTTTTGTACTAAATTCATTTCAGCTGTTTATCATGTTTTTTTTTAAAGCAGATTAAATTTTAAAAAATTCAGCTACAAAAATGCTTTGTAAAGGACAAAGTTTGTGTTCATAATTTGTGATTAATTATAAATACATTTTTGACATTGTGGATAGCAGTAAGTGTATTGATGTTATAGTTTCACTACTAGTAAGCTTGTTGGTGTTTCAGACTTGCTGTCTCTCAGAACGTTATTGCCATTCCTCATGACAATCGTAATATTCGACTTTACGATATAAATGGTGTGAGGATTGGAAGGTTACCAAGAAACAACAGACAGGTGAGTCAGGTTTTGATATTGTATAAGTGACACTAAAATGGCTTTGATTTACTTCAATCTCCCAGTTAACATTTTTACATTCACTGTTGCCTTTGGATTTCAGGCTACCACTATCATCAACAAAAATGTGTATTGAATAACTGATTTTCTGAAGAAATTATTTTTACCATGTTCTTTGTTTGGACTTAGTTGTTCAAATATTTTAGAATTAATGTTTTTCTCTTTCAAATTTGTAATTTTTACAATGTTTATACCCAGGGCCATGCAAGAATGGTTTGTTGTGTAGCGTGGGCTGACACCAACCCCTCGTGCAACCTTTTTTCCTGTGGATTTGATCGGCAAGTGTTGGGATGGATGATCAACAACCCAAGCAAAGAGTAACATGAGGCTCGTCAAGATCTCAATAACAATTTTCCTTGATTGATTGACTAATTTAGCGAAAAACGGTGGTCATGCTACATCTAAGTGAAAAAAAAATCTGCACATTTTTTTAACCAATGCACATTCTCACTTAAATGTGCACAACTGCAAAATATCTTTATCGCTTAAGTATCGTAATTTTTTTTTTTTACATCACTTAATTCCTCCTAAGTGAATATTGGTAACATTCTTTTTTAAAATTAGCCTAAATCACACCATATTGGATATGATGTAATTGCATTTGGATAAGGTGTCTGTTACCCACCCACTAACCCACTGGAGTATCTAAAAATCATTCCTTCAGCTTAGATGAGTGGAAAACTGTGATAAAACTTCCCCTTCCTTTTTGTATGTTGTTTTAGATGAGGCTGATCACTTTTTTTGTACTTTTCATCTTAAAAATCTCTTTTGTGATATTTATTCACGTAATTTTGTTTTTGCTTTAAAAACAAACAGCTTGTTTCAACATTTCATCTCAGTAAATTGTTGCAAACACTGTACATCATCAGAGTGCAGGAACATGATTAGATTTGTTTTTCTTCATAAGTAAAACATACCAAAATATGTTTATGAAATAAATAACTTATGTAGCTTACTTGTAGATCTATACATTTAAGTGTGTACATGATGTATAAAAAGTTCAGAGCTTTAAAAATGTCTGTTCCATGAACTCGGCAATTGAACCCTTATAAAGGCATCAACAAGATAAGAATATCTCACTACTTAAAAATTCCACAAAATACTTGTTGTATTTTGAATCAGGATAATATGTGATTTAGGACTTAAACGCTGTTTGTTAAAACAACAGCAAGGAATAATTTTATGCTAATGTATTTTCTTTAAACACAACTGAGTACTGAGCCATACTGGCAGAAAATAATGTTGATCATCATGCTGTATTATCCTGCCTGTGTATCTAAATAAGACCCTGTAATACTTCTGGTTGTAATTAATAATACACCGTTATGTAACAGTGTTGTAAAAATGTCCACTCCTTGCCTATGAGATTAATTTCCCTTAGCATTTTGCTTTTCTTACTCAGATGTGTGTATAATTTCTACTTAATAATTTTGTGTTGTGTAAATACAGTCACAAAAATACATTGTGCAATGAAATATGAAGTTAACTAAGCTCTAGTCGAGATTGAGTGGAAAATCTTACTTAAAATATTTAAGTTGTTTACTTGATTGATAATTTACTTAACTTTTTATAATGTTAAAACTTAGGTAAAAGTAAATTAATTTATTTTTTTTAATTAAAAAATATGGGTTCAAGTATAGGTGATAGCAGATTTGTTTTGAAAAGGACGTTGGATTATAAATTATCAAGAATAAAGGACTAAATTGAATGTTTTATTTAGACTTTTTATGCATGGGATTATTAAAACAAGTAGTTCCTGTCTAAAATGTAAATGGATTCAATTTGGCCAGTTAAAACTTAACTCTATAACTTAAAACGAGATTAAAAAAAACAAAAAAAAAACATATATTGTTGTCTATTGGGGTAAGCAATGTCTTGTGCCAAACTACTCTATTATCAATGTTTGGAAAGTTGTAAATTATTAATTTATTTAGATGAAATGCTTTATTTTGTGTTGTATGAATAAAATGATTTATTTCTAAATGTTTTTGTTTTGTTTTCATTGTATTGATGTCAATCTAAGAATATTTGTTACTAGTTGTTTTCTTCTTCGTTCTTAATTTTTAGTGTTGGATGGGATCGAGCCTTATCTGCCAGAGGGTTTGAACTTGAGACTTTTTCGAGTTTAACAACCATGAGCTTTTTGCTGACTCGACCACGCCTCCAACACTACTCCGATTTCACTGCTTTTCTTTTTGGATTTGCTTTTATAGCCTTTGTCCAACCAAGAACAAACTACAAGGCAGCAGTTGTTTGATTTTGGAGTTGTCTCTCCTAGAAGAGTGGCTGTCCCCAGCTAATGAGCCTCATCACCGAGGGTCCAAACTCAAGACTTTTCGGTTTAGCAACCATGAGCTTTACCAACTCGGCCACGCCGACCCCCCCCCCCCCCCCCCCCAATTCCAAGCTCTATATTTCTCAGTCTCATATCAGGGTTTCTATACGCTTTTATCTAGCATTGCTATCTTCTTTCTTTAGCATTGCTATCTTCTTTCTTACACGGTTGGAAGAAGAATCGTACACAGTTTTTCCACCCCAAAGCAGCTGATTGATTTTATAAAGATAGATGAAGAGAAATAAACTTTGGAACATGTAGCGTGTACTAGTTTGAACTACAGAAACAGAAACACACGAACATTACAAAGTCTTGCTAAGTTTTATTGGAATTTGTAATACAGAATATCAAAGTAAGGTGGGTAAACAACACATGTTATGGTTCTTATCAGTTAACCAAACCTGCACTCTTGCATAGCTGGTTTCATATATAAAGATACTTTAATTAATGGGTTAGGATTATATCTAGGGTTGGGTCTGTAGCTGATGATTTGATACTGGTAAACTCATTAAGGGGGTAGGTAGGCAAGGATAACTAACAAGGGCTGAAACGGCTGATGAACTCCAGTGTAGGTTATTTAAACTGACAGATTTTTTGTTGCAGTGTGCAAATGTCAATGTTTTATATGACTATGCTTGTGTTAATCAACATTAAGGTAAAATAAAAATCTTAAAACTCATAACTCAAACAAATCAGTCCTATTTCATGAATTCAAATACTTGCAGATGTTATAAAGTATAATACTTATGCTTAAAATAGCTGAACACAATTTGTTTTGATTACAATCACACAGAAACAAATAAAATCACATGCTATGAGATAGGATATTTTTGAGCTGCTGGTATAATGGAATCTCTTCTGGTGCTTCATGGTTTACTTAGAATTTTAAGGTTCATACTTGTCTTAAAATAGAACTTTTAAAATGAGCCCTGTTTACATTTAGTAATTATACATACTTTTCTTCATTAAAATAAAATTTAAATGAAAACTTCAATAAAATTGTATTTGATATAAAAAAAATGGCCAGAGGAAACTTTCTGAAGTGGGAGTTAATCAACTTTGTCACATTATGTAGTCTGGCAATATTTCATTTATCTAAAATCTTAAAAAAAAAATCCTTAAAAAAAACAACACTTGTACATTTTTAATCTGGTTTTCTACCAACACTTTTACAATGTGACAGATATAAAAGAATTAAATGCAACGATGACTAAAATACAAGTTTAAGGCTGTAGTAATTGTATATTGCACATAATATAAGATAAAATATAAAAAAGTTTTTAACGAGTATAAAAGTGAAAATAATGTCTGCTGAGAAAAAAAAATATCTACAATTTCCATCTGTTAATTGACCTTGACATTCAGGCTGGCATCCACGGTGGATTTTTTTATACCAGTGTCTGATAATAGAATCTTCTTAAAAGGGGGTTTTAGGTTACTGGTAATTAACTAAAATACACTCATGGCTTGCTAATGTGCTAACCCTATCCCTAGTCCAACAATGCGCCTAACTCACCTAACCCAATTTCTTACCATAAAACTAGTCGAGATTACAATACTACTAACAACTGACCACACCTATCTTAAGAAGAGTCTATTATCGGATATCAGTATCTTCAATCATCTGTTTCCACAAAGTATTTATAGTAGGTTCAAGCAGAGGTGATAAAAAATAATCACAAATTTACATCAAGTAATGTATGAAGGGTAGCTTATGTGAATATAACAAAAAGCGCATCACATGAAATATAATGGATGCAAGAATGTCTTGGGTATAGAAAGTGCTATAAATAACATCACAATAAGTACATTTTAATAAGAGCACCAATTAATCAGTAACAGTTGAAAGTATTAAGATAAATTAAAAAAATATTCAGTTTATAACTTAAAATGATGGATCTAAATTCTTATACAAATATTAGCAAGTTTAGATTGTCAAGTTAGTGGATGATTACAACTTGTCTTTTGGGGAACATATTATGGTAGGGCCACTGTTTACATTGCTATGGTGGTTGGATAAGGAAAATAAAATTTGTTTACATTTTGTTGTGTCCTACAGAGCCATAAAGTAAGATAAAAAATAATATATTTAATTCAATTTATTTTAAAACATGAATGAAATAATTACATTTTAATTTTACTAGCTTTTGACAAGTCACATGTACAAAATAAATAAAACAAAAAGTGGAGAACTTAAAAAAAAAACAACAACATAGTCTATACAAGTGCCAACACTGAACAGTCTAAGATACAAATTATCAAATTATGTCCCTTAGAATGACTTAATAACACTCGGACAATTACTTCCCTTTGAATGATACATTATTGAGTGGCCAGATCAAGAGACGTCTTTTAGAGTTAACTTCACTATTTACAGATTTTAAAAATTATATTGTCTCCTAAATAGATTATAAATGGGTGAAAATAAAATACATTGATGACACCAGTGTAATAATTGTATTCAACCTAAATCATGGGTTTATTTGTTTAAAAAAAATTAATACAACAAAAGTCACAAATCATTAAATTTTAAATATGAGATGAGAGAAGTTGGCAGGGGAAGTAAGTCTAGCATGTCCAAGTTTATTCTAGGCCTGGGCAAACAGGAAAAAATGGTCAGCCGACACGAAGACAGCAAACTTCTGGGGTTTTCTGGAAAATTATTAACTTCATGTCAACATAATACAAGACAAGAATTTTTTGAAGTAACTAAATAATTAACTAAATTATTAACATATGTCAACATAATACAAAGTTAGAATTTTTAAAGTAAGTGAATAATTAACTAAATTATAACCATGTCAACATAATATAAGACAAGAGTTTTTTAACGTAACCAAATAGTTAACTAAATTATCAACTTCGTGTCATTAAAAGAACAGAGCTTTAAAAATGGAGACTAAACATCTTATTTAAAAAATAATAATTAGGTTCTTCAATAAAATTTTCCAAAGTAAAAATAAGAAAACTTTTGAATAGATATGGTTTGGCCACACATTGAGAAAAATTGCAACCAGAAAAAAAACAACGAAAAAAAAACCTAGACAAAAAAGAAAGTATAAGGAAACACTGGAGATAAGATGCTTAAGAAGACACGAGAAAGATGGGTTACCAATGGCAACAGTTGAAGTAGCTCACAATCCAGAAGTACAGTAGATAAAATTTATCAATTCCAAACATGTAGGCTAAATGTACTAACCTGCATAGAATTTGATTTTTTGTTCCTCTTTGTTCCTCAAGTTTAGAAGTGCTACAGTACTAACCTGCATAGAATTTAATTTTTTGTTCCGCTTTGTTCCTAAAGTTTAGAAGTGCTACAGTATTAAGCTGCATAGAATTTGATTTTTTGTTCCGCTCTGTTCCTCATGTTTAGAAGTGTTACAGTACTAACCTGCATAGAATTTGATTTTTTTGTTCCTCAAGTTTAGAAGTGCTACAGTACAAACCTGCATAGAATTTGATTTTTTGTTCCGCTCTGTTCCTCAAGTTTAGAAGTGCTACAGTACTGACCTGCATAGAATTTGATTTTTTGTTCCGCTCTGTTCCTCATGTTTAGAAGTGCTACAGTACTAACCTGCATAGAACTTGATCTTTTGTTCCGCCCTGTTCCTCAGGTTTAGCTCAGTGGCCAGCCTGTTGTTGATGTCTCGGCCATTGGTGCCCAACCCAAAGTGGTAGAGCAGGTCAACCAGCTGGTCTCTGTCGTGGTACACACAGTTGTGGTAGATCAGATCTAAAACATAAGTCATGGTACAGTTGTGGTAAAGTCACGGTACAGTTGTGGTAGATCAGGTCTAAAACAAGAAATTTGACCACAATGTTATGTATTAGGAATATTATCTTGGCCAAACAAAACTTAAGACATATTACCCATATACCGACAGCAACGTATCACTCTCAGACCAACATCCACGTATTACTCTCAGACCAACAACCTCGTATCACTTACTCTCAGACCAACACCCACGTAGCACTTACTCTCAGACCAACACCCACGTATCACTTACTCTCAGACCAACACCTACGTATTACTCTCAGACCAACACCCATGTATCACTTACTGTCAGACCAACACCCACGTATCACTTACTCTCAGACCAACACCCACGTATCACTTATTCTCAGACCAACACCCACATATCACTTATTCTCAGACCAACACCCACGTATCACTTACTCTCAGACCAACACCCACGTATCACTTACTCTCAGTCCAACACCCACGTATCACTTACTCTCAGACCAACACCCATGTATCACTTATTCTCAGACCAACACCCACGTATCACTTATTCTCAGACCAACACCCACGTATCACTTACTCTCCGACCAACACCCACATATCACTTACTCTCAGACCAACACCCACGTATCACTGTCAAACCAACACCCACGTATCACTTACTCTCAGACCAACACTCACACAACACTCACTTACTCCCAGACCAACACCCACGTATCACTTACTCTCAGACCAACACCCACGTATCACTTACTCTCAGACCAACGCCCACGTAACACTTACTCTCAGACCAACACCCACGTATCACTTACTGTCAGACCAACACCCACGTAACACTATCAGACCAACACCCACGTAACACTTACTCTCAGACCGACAGCCTCGTATCAACAGAGCTTTGACGGCTGTGTAAACATCGGTAGCTCCGACCAGGTACTCAGTGGCGGCATCTAGGGAGGAACACTTTGGGTTGTACGTGTTGTGTGCCACCTTACTGACATGTCTCAGCTGGTCAGGATCTGCCCCGTACTCCAGCAGCAACTGGGTGAGTGAACATCAGCGGACAGGTGCAAATCAAGGTAGAAACAATGGTGATTGCTGATTAGCAAGACCCACACATTTATAGAGATTTTATATCTGATACCAATATTTGAATCCCATATAACTAGCCTTAACCCTGATTTGAATCAACAATCAAGTCACTGACAGTAAGATAAAAGTATTGTTAGTGAAAACAGCCATTCAAATTCATATGGCTTATCTTTAAAGCGTGAGCTACATGGCCTTACGCGTTATAAGTCAAGATCGTGGCTTGGCGCGCTTTAAGGGTTAAATAAAAATATCATATAAATCAAACCAAACTGTTATAACATAAATTTAACTGTTTAAATTTAAACAGCTTGGCTGTCTTGAAATAATGTAATTTAATAAGCACTGATACCTGTAGAAAGTGTAAATATTTCTCACCAGAACATATCTGACATCCATATTCATGAAAGCTACATAAAGCGGAGTGGATGAATTTCCTGGATCCCCCTCCGGGCACGCCCCAGCTTCCAACAACCTCCTGGCACAGTCCAGTCTGTGATTTTTGACTGCCACAAAGAGAGGGGTTTGACACTTGACATCCACTGTGTCAATACTGGCCCCAGCGTCAATCAACAAGTTAAGGCACTCCAGATGGCCTCCTGGGGGATGAGACATGGTAAAATGTTCTTAGTTTACAAGGAACAGCATTATCCAATACAAAGTCTAAAACCTCGGACAGCATATAATGGCAAACTTTAAAAATCATGAGTTCAGATTCTTGGGCTTTTGAGGCTCATTAAGTGGAACCTGGGACCAATCTTAGAGAGAAAACTCCAAAATCAAACAACTGCTGCTTTGCAGATTGTTCTTGGATGGATAAGGGCCATGGAAACAAATCCAGAAAGAAAAGATGGTGGAGTCAATAGCCATATGGCTCATAGATGACATGTGATATGTAATTGTGTTAGAGGAAACCCCTTCTAGATCTATATTAAATTGAGAACAGAAGAAAAAATAACCCGATATCTGAAGTTTGCTCACATTGCTTTAATTTAATGAAATACTAGATTCCTACTACCAATAAGGGGGATTTGAGAAAAGTAAAGGTGGCTGGACATGGTGCTGGCCACACATCAATGTCAATAAAATAGATGAACTGTATTTCATCTGCCAATCAGGCTTTAAATAGTACAATTACAAAAATAATAATTCAGTACAAGACTTACAAAGTTAACAATATTTGTAAATACAATTAAAAATGGTTGCAGGCACACCAACTAACCTGCGGAAGCCAACCCACATACACACCAACCAATCCACAGACACACCAACCAACCTGTGGCAGCCAAACGTATAGGTGTGCAGCCAAGACGGTTGCGCTGGTTGATGATGCTCATCCTCTCAGGGTCAGCGTCTATCTCAGCCAGCAATTGCTGCAGTCTGGCGGCATCCCCCTCAAACGCCGCCTTGTGAAGCTGGGACTCCCCCAGCGTGTGGTGGAAACAGTTTTTGAACTGGTTTCTGATCTCATCCACAACAGCAGCCTGGCCGCTACTGCTGGGGTGACCACAGGTGCTCTGATCTGCCCTATTCTGTAGCACTGACAAGGACTGAGCTTTCAAGTGTGTGGCTGGGGTCTGCATTTTAACTGAGTTGACCCTGCAGAGTGAAAAAATCAAAAAACAAATTTACCATACACGTATGAAGCTATGTACTGTTGAGATTTTAGAACAAATGGCTCTAGTAAAAACATGTCACACCTAAGTTTTTGCTACTAACACCACACAGACATTAACCCAAACACTACACAAACACTAGCCCTAACAGTGGTACAAGCAAAAAAAAAACAACACAATATTTCTTTGTTGAACCTACGCTATTATTATTAGAACAATTAAAGTAACATCCTCTATGTATTATAAACTAGGCCACCCAATTGTGCAGCTATCCTAAATACATCATGAGCTATAAGGTGGTGATATTTGCTTTTTAAGTGAAACAATGCCTCATTAGTGCAATTACTCAAAATCTCAGCTTCATTCATCATATATGTATACAACAAATCAAATATTCTATATAACTCAACAAGGAAAGTATAAATAATGTCAACCATGACTAATATAAATAAAGCTGTTTTTGTTTGACCCTGTAGTAAAAACTGAGTTGTTATGACTCATGAGGGAAATGGTTGGGTACTCATTAGAGCTGGATGGAGATGAGGCAAGATAGTGACATAAGTAAAAAAGACAAGGATCAGTCCACACAACTTCAGAAATCAACAAAGTCACTACATTATAAGGAAGTGACTGTAAATAGACACAAATTTCAACACATCATGATATTCATGGTGGGTAAACATGTGATCAAAAGAGTGGCTATAGCTTTAAGGAAAACACACACTTGCTAACACATAGAAACAAAAACACAATGACTTGATGCCATTGTTTACTTTTAAACCATGCCTTGATGTACTGCTAAGGGATAAACAAATTATAATTAAAGTTTAAAGAAGAATAAAATACATGCAGATTCTGCCCTACATAAGGATCAATGCAAAACTTAGTAAAAATATTTTAAATTAGTAAAATAAGAGCCTTTTTGTAAAAGATTACACAGGGAGTAATCTCTAAATGGTGAAATACATTTAAATCAGACCAATCAAACATTTTCCTTCATTGTCAATGATTACATTTAACTTTAAACAGTACACCAAAATTGTGTGTGCAAATAGATATGGAAACAACAAAAAGCCAAAATAAAAATTACAATACATATTCATATGGAGAAATGTGAAATCAAAATGCATTTTCAACTATACCTGTAGTTAACAGATAATCTGTCTTTCATGGTGCGACGATTGAAGTTAAATAAATACTTGACACTCATGCTGAGTTATATATTTAGTTAAAGTGTATGTAAATACAGGTGTAGGATACAGCAGTCTATTCCACTACATTGCTCGCATGCCCACACATGATAAATCTTCACTTGCATCAACTGTAAGGGGGTAATTCTTAAATGTTATACAGTAAAAAAGAGTAATAAGAAAATGTCTGCTGCTAATCAATTTCATGAATGCATTATTACAACTGAAATAAGGGGTCATCTATAAATGATGTCACACTCATAGGGTGGACTCTGTAATTTTGTGATGGTGTGTGATGGGGGGGGGGGGTTCAGATAGTGTGATGCCACACTTTTACACTATAAAACAGTAATGAGGGGGTTGAAGGCTGAGGTGTCAAGTCATTTTAGGGGGGGGGGAAGCTGGGTCCTGGGTGTTTGTGATGATGTGTCATGGAGGGGAGATGGGGAGGTAAAAATTGCCCAAAAAGTGACTTCATTTATGGATGACCCCTTTCTAAATATAATTATGCCCTACAATACTTGGTAGCAGATTAGAGATGTTTTCATCAGATGCAACCAAGCTCATTTAGCAGCCATCATGTTTAAGACTTTTGGTAACATTTTAGCTAGCGGTTCAGGGGAAACCACTCAAATTTACAGCTGACCACTGTTTATATTAGCAAATCTTGCTACATGTACATTACATGATGATGATACTACTTACTTAGTACAAGTACTACAGTACATAGATCTAGCTAGGCCTAGATCTTAGAATCTAATTCTTCATTCTAGCTCAGGCTCAGTAGCTGCCCAGCAGCTAATTAATGAGCTAAAGCTAATCTAGATAACCCTGGTAATGGTAACCCAGCCACTCCGGTGACCTGTTTCTGTCAGTCTCAGTAACTGAACTGACTGAAGAATGTGAATATGATGAACCCCGATGATTAAAAAATGAAAAATCAACTAAGACTACGGCTACGGCCTAGTGATCAGCGCCAGCGGTAGCCTATCAAAGTTAAACCACTGAGCCTTTCTAAATTTATCTTAAGTCTTAAGTCTTAAGTAAATTCTTCATAACACCTACTATTAAAATGAATTCCAGAACCGGAAAACGTACATCTTCACATTTTAAATCGATGGTCGAATGCGCTGTAGTCATTCGTCACTGAAGACACTAAGTAGATCTAGATCTACGAGACAGCGAAGAGTTAATTGTTTACATCGCGAGCAATCCATACAGCAACCAAGCGGTCCGTCTAAGTGTCAAAGAAATTGCGTTTCTAAAATTAAAAAGCGGAGCACGTATTGAGCCATAAAGCAGGCCTTTTTAAATTTTAATTTAATGTGTGAAACACTTTAGTTGTTATTCAAACACACCCAACCTCCAAAACAACACACTATTTAATCAAATAATCATCAGAAGCAACAGATGAAAGTTAAATGAGACCCAATGGTTTATGGATATAGTTATCATTCATAGCGTCATTCAGACCACATAATATAAGCAAAGTTTTAGCTGCATTTAATTATAAACAATCCAATAACGGAATTAATTAATATGTTGTATAATCCGTTTAAATCAATGCTTACTCTCCATCTCCATAAATAATTGGAAAAGAAAGTTAATTCAATGTAGGCCTATTTCTTTATTTTGACAAAGGAATAGCCGAGTTGGATAGACAAAGGCTGTGGATGCAATTCCATAAAGAAAAGCAGACTGACGTCAGTCAACGAGAAATACGTCACATTCTTTCGTCTAGACCTGCTTCATCCCACTTTTGCTCCATTCTCGTACTACACACAATATATCACAAACGAATAAATCCCAATACTGCTCTCTGCATCTACCTATGTTTTTTTTTTCAGGCACGTCCACCGCCCCCCCCCCCGCCCTCCGTAATAGAAAAAAATATTAAATTTATATTATATAATATAATTGTGTGCCCGCACCCCCTCCGCCGGAGAAACAATGTCTGAATGATACTCTATATACTACGACATTCTAAGCCCAACAATCTTTGTCATATCCAACATCTAGTTGGTCCGGTCACGTGTGTTGTCGACTGTGTCACGTGTCAACATGTATACCCTCACAGTCAGAGGTGAGCTTTCAGTAGCATCATTAACTTGACATTTAAAAAAAAAAACCGTTTGTAAAATCGAGATCGGTTCGTGTTACAAATGTCCTTTTTTTCATCGTTAGCCGTTTAGCGCAAGGCAGATTGCATAATGTCAACACAATAATTGCATTGAGCGAAAATTTCTCTACCACATCATTTAGCAAGAGAGGGGATCGTGCTTTTTGTGGCGAAAGTTTGATTATTACAAAATCGGTTAAGGTTGCGTGACGTCTGTTACAAATGACCCTTTAACAGTGTTTATTTCAGGCATTTATTCGTGTGTGTGTGTGTGTGGGAGGGGGTGTGTGGTGCCACTTCCCCGAAACACGTCCACCCCCCCCCCCCACCCCCCGTACAAAATATAATTTATGTAGACAATATATACTTTTGCCAGTGTTCGCCCACTCCCCTCACGGAAAATTTAGCCCCTCCCCACGAAAGATTCAAGTGCCCCCCTCCCCCCCCCCCCGTGTAAAAATGTCTGAAAGAAACACTGCCCATTACGACTAATTGAATTATCTCGTAACCTTCTCAACTTATGCTCATAAGCCGGGCAGACGGCGAGAGGACTTAGAAGTACCAGCATTTCCCACCCAAGTTGCCTGCAGACGTGACCCATTTATTTCCACCTGCCAATCAACTGGTTACATGTGTGTCATAGGTCAGGTCTATGTATTCGAGCGAGGTACCGAACTCGTGCCTTCCGTTTCAGATATATCACGTTCTACCCCACTCGACCATGGCGTACCTACCACAAAGGTTTACCTTTCGATAACATTCATACAAAAACTAATTAAAATAATCAGTACGGTAACTAGGATCAAGCAAGTTAAACACCCACAGAAGCCGTGAAATAATCAAACAGAAATCAATCGAGTTCTATAATATTCGGCACTTAACAACAGAATCATGCCGATAGTGTGTATAGAAGGGGGGGGGGGGGGGCATGAACACGGTGTCAAAGTTGGGTCTTCTAGGAGGTACGCGCTGCCTTGTAGCGACTGACAGACGTACGTCGTGTTGACAGATTAGATGCGGCATGTTACCATGCTGCACAGGAATGGCATGCCCTGGGCTTAGATTGTTGGATTGTTGGATGGTTGGATAATCAGATAATTTGGTTGTTGGATTGTTGGATAGTGGGATTTTTGGAGTGTTAGATTGTTGGAATGTTGGATAGTTGATAGTTGGATAGCTGGATAGTTGGATAATTGGTTAATTTCTTCATTGTTGTATATGTATATATATATATATATATATATATATATATATATATATATATATATATATATATATATATACATATACATATATATATATATATACATATATATATATATACACAAATATAATAGAAGGAAAAACATACAGTATAACAACAACAAAAATTAATGCAGCCCCACCCCCACCCTATTACATTCACTCCATAATTCCACTTAGTCGTGTCCCACTGAAGTATAGATCTACCAACGCTGCTTGCTGCTCGGCCAAGACACACCTTAAGGACATGCTTTCTATTTAAATTAACACTTATGAAGGCAGGGCCCCATTACTAGGGTGGAATGGAGAACAGGTAAGTGCATACTGGCGACACACGAAGGGCATGATTTCGATGGACACTTTTGAAGTTACTTTCTGAGTGTAGCCTAGGAAGGTAAATGTAGCTAGGCGATACACGAAGGACATACTTTAGATCAGGGGTCTCCAAACTTTTCAGTCGGAGTGCTGCATTAACTATTGAATATCAGTTCGGGGGCCAGTTTCTTACAGCCATCTTATTGTGGTGTCTCTGAACTATCTATGGTTGAGCCAATGTGCCATCTTCACCACAGGATTCAGTACACAGCTAATGTCCATATATTCAATTCAACACACAAAGTTTGCTGGTGAATAATACAATGCAGGAACATTGGTTGTAGAATGTTTTTCTCATTCGCTTGTCTAACCAAGCTTTTCTTTATGCCACTCATGTACTTTTCTCCATCAACAGTCAGAGGCGTAGCTAGGGGGGGGGGGGCGGGGGGGGGGCGGCCGCCCCGGGCGCCGACCCTATGGGGGCGCCAAAAGGGGTGGGAAATTTTTTTTAAAGCTGATTTTATGCTGCAGTTTTGAATTATAAACTGTCTAAGTTAAGAAATGTAATGGCTACACGCCTTTACATACTGATTTAACTGTTTTCTACCTTGATTTTTTATTGTAAAACATATACTCTTAAGAAACAGTGACCGGCAAAACCGCTTTGAAGCTTTTCCTAGATGGGGGGGGGGGGGGGGGGGCGCTTTTTCGAGACTTAAAACGGAAGAATTTACACTAGATTGTTGAGTCGATAAACGCTACCACTATTAAAAGAAACCAATTGTATTAAAACGTTTGTACGATTGTCGAACTGTAAAATACGTTAGTGACTTTTATCAAGATGGTGCAGGGGGGCGCTTTTAGGCTAAATAAAATAGCAAAATTACACAGGATTCTGAGTAAACAACCTTTAGCTCTCAGAAAGAAACGAATTGTACTGTGCATTGTATAATTGTGTAACATTTAAAAAAAAGTTAGTTACGTTAAAAACCGCTCTACAAACTTTGTCCAAGATGGTTGTGATGAGTGTGTGTGGGGGTGGGGGGCGCTTTTTTCGCTAACAAAAATCGCAAGTATTTGTACACTTAGTAAAGAAACCAAGTGTATTAACGCGTAATGTACAATTTCAATAGCCAGTTTTGTTAAAAAAAAAAGACGCGACGAGTTCTTTGTAAGATTCTTACGATTCTCTCAACTTCAACGTGAGAGATCAGATACTTTTGATTGATTGCATTACATCTTACCTGGATCACTGAACTATATTAAAGAGAACTAAATATCACGGATTCTTGAATCCCTAAGCCACTAACCACCACTTTTTTCCATGCTCTTATTTCATTCTCCACTGTCTGTAATCTAGCTCCAAGCCATACAGTAAAAGAGACCACATTTAGTTATAGTATAGATCCTGATTGAATTTTTTTGACAATGCATTTGAATTCTACATTTTCTTAGAGTGTTAAAACGCGTTTTATTGCTGCTGATTATAATCAGAACGTCATGGGCTATCATTAAATTGATTGTTACTGCTTCTTCAATCAATACAATTAGTTCTGCATTTGTTGTTGACGTTGAGCGAGCAGTGTTTCTTCCAGACTTTTTTCTCCGGGGGGGGGGGGCACTTGAAATTTTCGGGGGGGGGGGGGGCGTAGACTTTCTTCGGGGGGGGGGGGGGGCGGACACTGTTAAACGTATATATTTTCTATATATAAATTATATAAATTTCATTTCGTTCGGGGGGGGGGGGGGGGGGGGGGGGGCGGTAAAAAGTTTTCAGGGGGCTTCGCCCCCCCCCCCCCCCCCGAAGAGATGCCTGGAAGAAACTCCACACACATGTATATATATATATATATATACATATATATATATATATATATATATATATATATATATATATATATATATATATATATATATATATATATATATATATATATATATATATATATATATATCTATATATATCTATACTAGCTGCATCCCGTGCTCCGCCACGGTAAATCTTTTTAAATGTACATTTTTGGAACAGAACAAAACGAACAAAAACACAACACAAACATAAACACAAACAAAACACAACCACAACACAACCACAACACAACCACAACACAACACAACAACACAACCTCAACGCAACCACAACACAACCACAATACAAACAAAACACAACCACAACACAACCACAACACAACCACAACACAACCACAACACAACACAACAACACAACCACAACGCAACCACAACTCAACCACAATACAAACAAAACACAACACAACCACAACACAAACACAACACAACACAACAACACAACCACAACGCAACCACAACACAACCACAACACAAACAAAACACAACACAAACACAACACAACCACAACACAATCACATCACAACCACAACACAACCACAACACAACCTCAACACAACCACAACACAACCTCAACGCAACCACAACACAACCACAACGCAACCACAACACAACCTCAACACAACCACAACACAACCACAACACAACCACAGCCACAACATTAGAA